ATGCTACTCATGCACAAGTATTTTAGCTTGTGTTTCACATTACTTCAATAAATTTGAAAATCACTTTTCAGGTTTTTATCTTGGTGTACATTTAAATATTTATTTAGCTCATTATTTATTCATTTGAATTGTCTCCAATTATTATAGCAATGCCTGGTAGTCCTCCTCACCACTCTACATGGCTAAAGGGATTGGTCACATTTCCCATTAGCAACTCCTATCTAAGGGGATTTATGGCTGCTGTAAATAGCTGCTCTGGGCTGAGACTTGGCACAATGTTCTAACCCTGAAGCATATTTTTGTTCCTAGTTTTAAGCTCTAAGGAGTACATTAGACAGACAGACACACACACACACACACACACACACACACACACACACACATATACAGTTCAGGAATTTATTTGGCTAACTTTACAGAGACTTGTTAATTTCTGTATTCAGTTGCTCAGAAGCAGCCAATTTTTTTTTAACATCTTTATTGGAATATAATTGGTTTACATTGTTGTGTTAGTTTCTGCTGTATAACAAAGTGAATCAGCTATGCATATACATATATCCCCAGATCCCCGCCCTCTGGCGTCTCCCTCCCTCCCTCCCTATGCCACCCCTCTAGGTGGTCACAAAGCACCAGGACGATCTCCCTGTGCTCTGCGGCTGGAAGAAGCCAATTTTTATTTTAGAGTTCACAATATTTTTCTAGACTCTTCAAACCTCTTAAGTACTGTCAAGTCTCAATTATTCAGACTTTGTGACTAGAAAACTCATACACATGTATTCATCTGCAAAGTACATAACACTGGACAAGTATTATCCCCCTACTTCATTCAATCCCCATTCAATCCTATCCTATAAAGGTTGCTCATGTCTTTTCACGGTGGTCATGTTGCCAGTATCTCACAGCGAGATAATGTATAAAGCATTATCTTTACATGGACAATATTCCATTAGATCCTCACAAACACAGAGTGAAGTAGGCATTTATTGATGAAGAAAATGATTCTCAAAAAAAGTGACATGCTAGGACATACGGTTCAGCTGTGGCAAACTCAGAACCAAAAGCAACTCTCTGACTTGCAAACCTGTGCTT